TGATATGTTAACATCTTTTTCCTTTGTACATATCTTTCCTTTTCTGTTTTGGTTCTTTTTATTTCTGTGTCTTCAAGAGTACTTATTCATTCTTCCATTTCATCTATTCTGCTTTCACTGCTTTTCCCAGAGTTCTTTAGCTCCTCCATGAATTCTTTGATCTCCTGCATTTCTTTTACTTCCCTCTTTAGGGAATCAATTTTATTCGTCTGATCATTGATTATTTTCCCCATATCATTTTTTACTTCCTTCAGTTTTTCAGTCATGGCTGTTTTAAATTCTCTTTCTGCAAGGATCAAAAGTTCTTCCAGGTCACTCTCGTTGCAATCTGGTGGGTGGTTTTCTTTTGGTGGTGTGTCTTTTTCCTGAGGAGTTGCTAGGTTGCATGTAGTTTTTCTTCTCCCTGCTGCATGTTTTCTAATTTGCCCAATGCGTTGGGACACTGTGTCATTGGTACTGGCTGGCATCGTTTTAGTGTGCTCTTTCTGCAATTTTGGAAACTGGTGGTTCAAGTGAGTCAACTACTGCTATGCCAGAAGTCCAGTGAGGCAGTGGTACTTTGAGTATGTTAATGGTTGCTGTCAGAGAATATCTCCTCCTTCTGTGTTTGTTTAATTCCAAAGGTGTGTTTTGAAGTCCCACAGACTTCCCTGGAGGTGGAGCTGCTGGATTACAATCTGGGCTCTAAATAGCTGGATCCCCCTCTGGGCTCCACTACCTGCCAGGGGTGACCAGTCTTGTGGAGGCCTTCAGCTCACCTCTGCCTCCGTGGGGAGCTTTATGCCAGTTTCAATCAGTCTTTATTGAAGAAAAGTCTCTGTTCTAAAATGGCAAGTTGGAGACACACTCTCTTGCGTGCCCGGTCTGCCCGGCTGTGGGTGCCCGCTCCCCCTCTGGGCTTGAACTGCTGGCCTGGTGGGAAGGGGCCTGGTGTGGGGGAACTTTCCAGCTCACCTATGGCTCCATGGGGAGACTTTTACCAGTTTCAAGCAGTCTTTATTGAAGAAAGGTCCCTGTTCTAAGATGGCAAGTTGGACATGCACTCTCCTCCATGCCTGGTCTGCCCTGCCCATGGGTGCCTGCTCCCCTTTTGGGCTCAGACTGCTGGCCAGAAGGGGCCTGGCATGGAGGAACTTCCCAGCTCACCTGTTAAGTTCATTTAAAAAACAATATATATTAAGTTGATATTTTGAAAAGCTAAACAATTGAGCTAGAGATATCTTACTATATTCTTTTTTAAAGATTTATTTATTTATGCATGCAAGAGCCTGGGTGTAGGCCAGAGGTGTGGGGGGTAAGAGGATTAACCTGAGACAGAGTGGGTAGCAGAATAGGCAGACTGACTGAAATACACTGCTGAGGGGAGAAGCAGGCGAGTAAGGAGAGGTCTGCTGTGCCATGGGGGTAGCCCTGGCTGGGGATTGAACTTGTGCTGCAGCGACTTCAGATAGCCCCACAGGTTGTGTCTTAACCCCTTGCACCCTTAGGGACGCCCTCTTACTATATTTTTAAGGTCATAACAATCTGACTTGTGGCAACATACTTCTTGAAGAACATGACATATATGTTTAGATTCATAAAAAAATCTGTAAAATACTGGTATCTATGAAACATTATTTGCTATACCCTGGAAGACAAAAGAAATATTATGAAGGAGCAGACTCTATGTTTTGATCACAAAGGTCAGGGAAAAGTAGGATGGGCTGCTCCCCCTTCTAACAGTATTACAGGAAGAAGAGTGTTTTTAAGGATGAGCATTTAAGTATTCTGTTATGGGAAAGAGGGTGTCATTTTCATCTTAATGTATTTGGGCCCAAGTGAGTGCAAATTCCTTCATTTGTTGAGGGACAATCATGCACAGAGTATTATTTCAGTAAGATTGAAATGTGTTTGAGTAAAAATATCTTGTTCTTTTTCAACATATGCTCTGCCCAAAATGATGCAAAACTAGGGAAAGGGATATTTTGTTACTGAAAATTCAGAAAGCTTGTCTGTTGCCTGAGAGAAACTGCAAGGAATATTGGCCAGAGACAGCAACTGGATCCATCCTGAAAGAAACTCTGAAGGTTGCTTCCCAGTGACCCTTCTGAAAAGAGGGAAGGAAGGTGGAATCACAGCAAATCCTGGGCTACTAGTGTTGGGAAGGGTGAGGGTGAGATGAGGAGGCCCCAGGTCTCCTAATGAGATGGTGAGGTGGGTGGTAATATGCATCGGAGGGGTGTGAGCCTAGTCCCTTAAATCATAAGCTGTGTTGCAGAGCAATAATGAAAAAAGTAAAAACAAAGGACAAGGGACGTCCTCGGTGGCGAAGCAGTTGAGCGCTGGGTTGCGAAGCTACCCGCAGCCTCTGCAGCGCAGGTGTGATCCCTGGCTGTTCCCCAGCCACTGGGTGAGGGTCCCACATGGTGCACAGACCTCTCCTGCCACCTGCTGCTCCCCTCAGCAGTGTACTTCAATCCTTCTGCCTGCTCTTCTCCCCACTCTGGCTCTGGTGAATTCTCTCACCCTCCCACACTTCTGACTATACCCAGTGCTTTTGTAAATCAATAAATGAATCTTAAAAAAAAAAAAAAAACAGAAGACAAAAGAAATTCCATATGATCTCCTTATCGTGTTTCTGGGTATATGCAAAAAAATACAAACACACTAAATCAAATAGATTTATGTGCCACCATGTTTATTGTAGTATTATGTTACAATATCCAAGAGTAAGAAAAAAACTAAATGCCCAAGGGCAAATGATTGACTAAAAAGTTGTGGTGTATCACGCAATGGAGTAGCACTCAGGTGTCTAGTGTGAACTCCGCCATTTTCCCCAACATACCTGGGGGTATTATGCTCAGTGAAATAAGTCATAAAAAAGGCTTATACAGTAGGATTTCACTCAATGTGGTATATAGATAAACCATACAAACAGAAAACTAAATAATACAAAAACAAACTTCTGGACCAATTAGTGGTTACCAGAGGGGAAGGGCAAGGGGAAAAGGAGTGGGTAAATCAGGTACAATGTGTCAGTTGTATAGAGAAGAACAGAATTGGAGCTTTAGTGGTGAACTTAACATAGAACACACACAAGTTGATTTTTAATGATAATAACACATGACATTTACATATGTTAAATGCAAGATTTTCATTGAAGAAATTAATTTAAGTATTAAAAAATCTACAAAGCCATTACACTAATAATTACATATCATGGATGAGAGAATTTTAAAAATTTCAATAAATGCAAATAGTTTCCTGACCATGGACTGGGGGACATAATCTTTTTTAATTTTTCTCCTTTATTATAGATGAAAGTAATTACAAACAAAATTTCAACAGGTATGTTTTGGGATTGGAAAACTGATTCTAAAGTTTGTACAAATAAAAACAGTCAAGAGAAGCTAGACAATCTAGAAGAATAGAGTAGTTAATATATTAAGTTATTACTAAACTATAGTAATTTACATAGATTGATATTATAAGCATGAACCCAAACATCAGTTGAACAAGTTGAAAATCCCACACCTATCTCATCACTTGACATAACAAAATGATTCCTCAGCAAACAATATTTCTCAATTAATGACACTGAAATTCATTGAGGAGACTACTTCTCAATTAATGATTCTGAATCAGCTGCTTAAGACTGTGAATAAAATGAACCACAACTTCTACCTCACAACTTATGCAAACTTTTTAAATATTGTGTGTTGCTATTCCCACAAATCAAGGGAAAACAGATAACTGGGGAAGATGTCTGGGAACTTTTAATAGGTCAATACTAGACTCTCCCTATCATTAATGATTTGATCTCTTTATCATTGTTTTATCACTTCATTTCATCCATTTGTTCATTTGCTGGAAACTATTTATGTTTGACCGCCTACCTTTCTGTTCATAATTCTGTCATTTTATTTGCTGATTAAGCCATCCATTGATTTTTAAATTCTGATCACTACAAAATGTATGTGTGTGTATGTTTCAAATATTTATATTCTTTTTGATAGTGTATGGATTTTATAATGAAATAATATTTTTAAATTTTCTCTGAGTCTAGTTTACATTTAGAGATATGTGTTTCACAAGCACTCACAGATATTCTGTTATTCAATAATTACTACCATATGACTGGCAATTATTTAATTGCATCTTAAGATAAGGCAAATAAACAGTGCAATGATATTGTTGCCAAGTGACCTCAGTCTATTGCTCCTGGAGGCCTCATGGCAGGGAGACCACAGTGAACTCTGCACGGGAAATGGGTGCTAGAGTCAGGGGTTTGCATCAGTTCATAGAAATCATGTGATATTCCAACTGCAGTGTAACTCAGGGAAAAAGAGCAGTGAATCTCTTTATTTACTATTTTCTATCATCTTGACAATTTTATGACATGACAACATTCCCTATGATCATTTCTCTATTTAGCTTTAAATATGTGGCTGGCTGTGTCTTGTTTGGTGGTGTTTGGTAAACAACAGCTACCACTGTGGGAAACATTCTTCTTGATCCCAACTAAAGGGTGGTGTTAAAGTGAAGATGGAATTGGTCTGCTCCTAAAGCTACTGCACAGGAGAAAAGCTCTTTGTGAAAAGCAGCATTTTGGAAATTGCTGTTTCTGGGCAAATTACTAACTTCAAAGAATGACACACTTTGAGGCTTATACCAGGGCTGAAACACCTAGTTCCCGATGATAAACCTTTAAATAGAGTAAATTTTAGCAACTGTTCTTGTTCTCATTACATAGATGTCATCAGAGAGATCAGTTAAGCAGACACTTGCCCAGATCCTGGGCATTTTATCCTTGCAAATTATATAAAAAAATCATCACTGAAAAGCTCAGAGTTTGGGTGGTTCTTCCAGATAATCTGGAGATTGTTCCTGCACTTGTCTCAGTCTTTTTTTTTTTCTTTTTTATAAGATCTTTTAATTATTACTTGCCTCAACATATTTAAGTCAAAAGTTGCCCAATATATTTGGAAATACTCACCCAAACAAGAATTAATAGATGTGCATCAACGAAATAGATCAGCTTTTTTTCTTTGGAAGATCTTCCTTAGAACCGCCTTTATGGCTTGATTTCTCAGGCTGTAGATCATAGGATTGGCTGTTGGGGGCACAACTGTGTACATTATAGTGGGCAAAATGTCCAGTGCACTTGGAGAGTCAGATGGTGGCTTGAGAAACTCAAAGGCACCGGTGGATATAAACAAAATGACCACAGCAAGGTGGGGAAGGCAAGTGGAAAAAGCCTTAGCTCTGCCCTCAGCAGATGGCATCCTCAGCACAGTAGAGAATATCCGTGTGTAGGACACTCCAATAAACACAATGCAAAGAAAGGCCATTAGAGATAAGACACCACTGATCCCAAACTCGCTGATATACTCATTAGAACAAGAGAGTTTCATGATCTGGGGGATGTCACAGAAGAACTGGTGAATGATATGGGAACCACAGAAGTGCATGGAAAAAGTGCCAGCTGTGTGCATGGTTCCAGAAATGACCCCACTAATCCAGACACCTAGGAGTCCATGAACACAGGTGCTGGCATCCATGATAATTTCGTAGCGCAGTGGAAGGCAGATGGCCACGTAGCGATCATAGGACATCACTGTCAGCATGGACAGGTCAGCAGTGGCACAGAAAGCAAAGGCAAAACACTGCACTATGCATTCCTCGAGGGAAATGTAGCCACTGTGGATGAAAGTGTTGTAAATGGACCTTGGCACAGTCACAGAAATATAGCACAAGTCCAGGAAGGAGAGATGTTTCAGGAAGAAATACATGGGTGAGTGGAGGCTATTGTCTATGGAAATTGCACTGATAATGAGGATGTTGCCAGTTACCGCCACCAGGTATAAGACTAAGAACAGAGAAGCTTGGACGAGTTCAAGCTCACGATTGGCAGAAAAGCCCATGAGAAGAAACCCACTCAGAGTGAAATTAGCCATATTTCATATTAATTTCCTAGTGTTGTTAGCTGCAAGATAAAATGGAGCCAACCATTGGCAAGAAAATTTTTGTTACTTAGCCATCTAAACTTCATGAACTCAGTGAAGATATGCATGAATCTCTTGAAGAAATCACCACTTCATCATAAAATGTGAACGTATTTCTCTATTTATAATCATATTTTTTCAATTTAAATGATTAACATTCAGTCATAGAACACGGGTAAGGAAGATGATGAAATTGATTAGTCCACATTTCAATGTAATGAAAAGTAAATTAATGTGTATAATATAGTTAATAAAATATGTTTTAAATATATAATTTTATTATAGGACTTTGGAGCATTTCATTTTGTTTTTTTGTGAAAATATGAAACAGTTCATAAACTCACATTTACAAATGTTTCTTACCTACTCTTCTTTGCCAGTCATAATTCTTTCCATTCATATTCATTCTTCCTCCAATGGTTTTATTATGGCAATATAATAATTGTTTTTATTTATGTAGATAAACATTCTAATATCTTCTTACTAAACATTTATTTTTTCAATAAATACATTTATGAAACAACAAATTGACATTACCTATTCTTGTTCCTAATTATGATATGTAAATAACTGTTTTCATTGACATAAAATACCATAGATATTGATCTGAAAAAATATTCATTTCTCAAAGAAAAATGAATAGAACAGACATCCCACAGTATATTTTTAAACAAAAAGAATATAACTGATATACATGTGAAAATGCCATTTATCCTAACATTTAATGTAAAACAACTATGAAAAACAATTTTTGTATGCAACAAATTAGTTAAGTATAAAAAATAATACACTCTATACTTTTAATTATGAAGAAAGATCTTGTGGTAACATACATCTGAGGGGTCTCATCGTAGAGCCCGAAGTCCTGCCTACTGCTATAAGTCATTAATTCAATGAAATTAAAATTAATTAATACAATTAAAATTAATGAATATGCTGCTCATTTCATAAAAATAAAGAAATTGCTTTGAAGCATATAACTAGAATGGTCAAATCTGTGCATTCTTTCAGGAAAAGAACAAATGCTTAGCAGAAACTTTGAAATAGTTTCCAAGTAAAATTGTATAAATTTATAACTAGAAAATATTTTAAGTATATCATCTGTAATTGATAGTAGAAAATTATGTATGAAAAATTAGTGCAGTAGCAAAATAATTAACATATTGTAAAAATATAACAATAATTATTTTCATGATAATATTTCAGGCGGCCTTAAAAATTCTCATTATGAGGTGTTTTTTTTTTTTTTTTCGGAAATGGGATCTGATCATTATTTGGATGATATAAAAATAAGATATATACACATTGTGTTCTGAAAATGTGTAAATACACAAGAATGGAATAAACAGAGCATAAAATATGTAAGGAAATAAAACACAAAACAACACTAATCATTCTAAGGGAATGATTGTGTTTATTGCTGGTTTATAGATTTGTTAGCCTGACCTGAGACACACAGGAGTCTTCCAACCTGAAATCCTTGGTCTACCTGTGATAATTTACTTAGAGTATGAAGGTGATGGACGCTTCTGGCTTCTGTAGTGAGCGATGTAATTTTATTGGAAGATGGTTTAAGTCTGAGATGGATGGGATGGTTGGAACATTCGATGCTGTCCTTTACATGCAACAAGTAAAACTTATTTGAAAACTGTTCGGCTTTACTGTGTGTGTGTTTGTATGTCCATGTGCAGTTGTGTGTGTATGTTCCAGTGTTCCCAGACTGATAAACCAAGTAATTTCATTCTGGACAATATTGAAGGGAGACTTTAAAGATGATTCCTGACATTTCTAGAGATAAATGACATATTTTCTCATCCAGGCTTTACCTGTGGCAAAAGAAACTTACCGGGTGAGGCTTTTGGAGTCCTCAAAAATTTCCATTTCTATGTACCTGGAAGCATATTGTTTATTTTCCCGTATTGAAACCAACAACAACAAAAAAAAAATCATCAGATATGTTATAGGGAGGGAGGACGGACACCCCAAGACCCCCAAACTGGTCACTCTAAATAGCTTCTGCCATCTGCTGCATGAGGACAAAACATACTTCAGTGTGTAAGACCCTTAATGGAAAGGAACTTTAATACAATTAGTGTGATGCAAAGAGAATGAAAGAACATAGTTTCCAAATCAAGCTCCCCAAGTTACCCATCTTCTCGTGGGTGAATGCCCGGCCAAACAGGGTTGGCCCAAAACAGGGCCACTGAGTCCCAAAGTCTGCCACAAGTCTAAGGCACCTCCTCCTGGGGGAAGCCCATAAAAAAGGGTCAGAAACAGCCAGACAAATCCGGACTGAAAAGAGCAAAATCAAAATCAAGATAAATGCTACCATTGTTAACATCCCCACGGGTCTCTCACTCACATCTGTTTCAACTAGTCCAAGACCAAGAAGCAAATGCAGCTTCTTCACATGTCTCTGCTCCCTGTGCCTCCTCCAGGTCTCCTCATTCTGCATTCTGCTTCCTTCCTTATCCCAGTCTCCTCTCCAGCTTCTTCTCCCTGCACAGCTCCACCCTTCTTTAGGAAGGGCAGGGGAAAACTGGAATCTCCTCTTTTCCTGGGAACCACCCTGTTACAGACACACTTGGAAATGTTGTGTGTTTTACCCAGTTATTATTTTTAAAGATTTATTTCTTTACACATACAAGAATTGGGGTGCTGTCCAGAGGTGAAGGGGGTGAGAGGATTCATCAGAGACAGAGCGGGAAACAGAACAGGCAGAATGACTGAAATACATTGCTGAGGGGAGCAGCGGGTGAGACAGGAGTGGTCTGCTGCACCATGTGGGTAGCTCGCTAGCCAGGGATCGAACTCATGCTGCAGTGGCTGCAGAGAGCTTCGTAGGTTGTGTCTTAACCCCTTGTGTCACCAGACAGGTCCAATAATTAAATCTTTAAAAAAAAAAATTAAGAAGCCACAGCAGGAGCTTCACCAACTCTCAGGCAAGCAGGCAAAAAGAAGCAAATTTGTTTAGAGAAATAGATGTAAGGAAAAGTTTATTAAGGAGAAAAGGCAGAGAAACAAAGTGGGACTCCCAGGCTGTGGAACCAGGCCAGGAAGGGGTAAGGAAGCCTCCTGGGGTCTGGCCTCAGGGAAGATGCACCTTCTCTCTGTCATTATTCTAAGACCTTTCAGTCTCTCTGTGATTGGTTAGTTCTCTGGGTCTCACTCACTCTGTCCTAATGTCTCTCTGCCTAGAATTACATTTTGCTGCACTTATCTTGGAGTCCTTTTTTTTTTTTTAATTGCCCTTACCCAGGAATGTCCTGTTGCCCCTCTTCCTAGGGATGTCTGATTACTCCCCTTTGGAATTAGTTGCCATTATCTCTGGAAACTTCCTTATTCCTCCCAGGCTTTTTCCCATTTTATTCTGACCCAAAAAGCTCTCCACTTGCCCCATAACTTAACTGGTTATAACAAGAAGTAAGTCTTACTGTGGCCTTTCAGTCTTTATCTACAGTTTCTTTTTGACATTTACATTTTGAAGATGGAAAATATGCTTATTTTGCTGTCCTGGGATAGTTGACTTATTCTCCATTTTTTAAATTTTTCTGACATATTTGAACATTTTTTCTGTGATTCCTGATGTGGAAGGCATCTCCCAGCTCATACTAGTCACTATTATAAGAGACCAAAAATGCAAAGAAATTCACACTGATTTCCTTCTAATGATGTTTAGAAACAGAAAGTCTATTTCTACGGAGGTGGGAATTGCGCGCTCCACTAGAGTTCTAATTTCCACTGAAATAATCATAGCTCACAATTATTAGTTCATATTCAAGAAGCTGAATGACAGTGCCTGTTTCTCTCACCCCCTCAAAACCAGTAACTTATGGGGTTTCCATTATTCTGTGTAATCTATGATTTTATAAAACCTAAGGAAACTCACCAGAGTATATTCAAGAACATTTTTTTCCTCAACAGGAGGAGACACTGTTGGTGTGAGCAGCTGACACTCAGGTCAAAGTCCTGATCTCAGTAATTCAGTCACATTCACAAAAATGTGACCTGTGGAGAAGTTAGTCCATTTTAATTCTTCTTTGGCCACTGGAGGTTAGACTATGAAATCTCTTTGGGACAAGCACAGTTTTGGGTTCTCTGGGCATTTGGTGTCCTTAGTAAATATCCTGGGGCCAAAAATGCAATTATATTGATTATTCCTGCAGAGTACTTTTTTGTTGATTTGACTTAATGATTATACCTTGCTACCTGGAATTTCAGCTTATTTATATTTATTGGATAAGATTCTTTAAAAATATTATAATTTGCGTTACCTTCAGTACTATGAAAAGACACATTTAATTCTAATATTGTATTAACAAGACATGAATTTACTTCATATGTAGGTGTTATTATAATATCTAATTGACATGTCCATTATCTGAAAAGGGATAAATACTAATAAATTACTGCCAAAGAAGCAAACAAATTACCCCTAACCTTATGCCACTAGATGTCAATGTAATTTCACTCTGAGTCAGGAAATAGTGTTTAAAAACCATTTTTTTAAACCTGTGTATGGTCTATGGCTTGTGTATTGGAAATTTAGTTGTTATGGAAATAAACTCATTGTTTTAATGTTAAGCCCTAATACAATAGTTGACAACCTGTATTTATTATCACAGAATATGTCTTTATCCAAGGATATCATTTCACAAATGTAACCTTTTCCAATTCTAAAACTATACAGATTTCAGGTGGTTTATATTTTGTAAACTCTCATTTTAATACATTGAAATTTCTGTTTATAACATGATTATACATTTCTGGCACTTTCATATGTTTTTACTACGCTTCATGTCTTTATTAATCATTCATTCCTTACTACTTCCTTTCATTGAATTTGAATATTTCTAATGTAGCATTTTAAATTCTTAATGACTTTTGCACCTTTATGACATAATTGCCTTAGTAGTTTATTCTTGTCACCTGTCACCAAATACAAGGTGTCTGCTTTTGCTAACAGGGGCCCATGTCTAGGGGATATTTAAACCTTTTTTTCTATTCTAAGATCTCATCACCTTGCTTGTTATTGGCTCTTTCTCTTAGTGGCTGTACTCCTCTGGACAGAGGTGCCCATTTTCCCAACTCTTAGAGTTTTTCCTTTTACATCCTCTGCTCAAGGTCTCCTAAAATTTACTTTCCCAATTAGCCTTAAATATTAGCTTTAAAATTTACTGCCATCAATAGCTCTCCTGAATTTCTCAGCCCTTACCTCAGAAGCCTCTTTAACTCTCCTAAAGTCCCTGCCTGTGCTGTCACTGAGCTGCCTAATTAACCCTAACTGGCCTGGGCCTCCGAGCTTCCAGTAATAAGGTCCTGCAGGTTGAGGACTCCTCTCCTCCTGATGGGCTGGCATCTACTCAGACACCCACTGAACTTCAAGGATTCCTGTGCTTCTGATTTACTAGCTACTATCTGGTAGCTCCACTTCTTCCTATTAAATGGTTTTCTAGAGTGATTCATAGACCTCAGGAATGTGCATTTCTTACTACTGATGGCTTATTATAAAGAGCACAATTCAGGAAAATGCATGATGGTGGGTTGGGTTTGGGAAGAACAGAATTTCCTTGCCCTCTTTTTTGCACCATCTTCCCAACACTTCCTTGTGTTCAACAACCTCAAATTCTTCCCTGAATCCCACTATTTAAGCTTTCACTGATTGTATTCTAGAAAACCTGAAAAAATAGTTAGAAAACTTGGAATACTTAATATAATTATCTACTTTAACCAACAGTAACTAACGGATTTGATATTGTAAGCATGAACCCAAACATCAACTGAACAATTTGAAACTCCAACATCTATATCATTATCTGACATAACAAAAGTAAAATTCATCAACAAATAATATTTCTCAATTAATAACTTGGAAATTGAAGAAATGATTTCTCAAAAATGGTCCTGAATCTGTTGTGTATCACTTTGAATAAAATGAACCACAATTTCTATCTCACATTTTGTGTAAAGTAATTTAAAATGGATTGTTGAATGCAAAGGATAAAACAGTAAAATTTTCATGTAAACTAACATTTTTCTCTGTTATTTCATAGGTTTAATAAGTATTTGTGAATTCACTTTCATTATATTAACCAATTTTTGTTTCTCATACGCTATCTATTGAAGAAAACATAAAAATTATTTTTAAGCTATCACTTGTTGCTCATGCCATCAACACCTAAAATAGATGAACTAATATCTTGAAACTTTTTTTTTTAAGATTTTATTTATTTATACAAGAACTGGGGTACAGGTCGGAGGCACCAGAGGGTGAGAGAATTCACCAGAGACAGAGTGGGGAGCGGAACAGGCAGACAGACCGAAGACACTGCTGAGGGGAGCAGTGACCAGCCAGGAATCAAACCCCTGCTACAAAGGCTGCAGACAGTTTCACAGCAGGGTGCTCAACCTGCTGTGCCACTGGGCAGGCCATGTCTTGGAACTTTTAATAGGTCCTTATTAGACTCTTCAGTTCTCTCATTTATGATTCAATCTCTGTCTCAATGTTTATCACTTCATACCATTTGTTCATTTTTGAATTATTATTTATTATACAAGTTACAGTCTCACCAGAGCAGAGCAGCAGAGGACGAAGTGAGCACAGGAGTCTCATGTGGGCCTCCTCTGGCATCGAAGCGCTGCAGAGCTGTGGCAGCTTTGCACAGCCAGTTCATTTGATGCAGTTACAAATTACTGAACTCTCAGATAAGAATGAACAAGTTTGGGCCTCCAGGGTGGCACAGCGGTTGAGCGCTGGGCTATGAAGCTGCCCGCAGCCTCTGCAGCTCTGGTTGGGTCCCAGCAGGCCAGTGAGGATCCCACATGGCTCACAGACCTCTCCTGCCAGGTTCGCAGCTCCCCTCAGCAGTGTATTTCTTCAGTCTGCCTGATCTGTTTCCCCACTCTGTCTCTGGTGATTTTCTCACCCTCCTGCACTTCTTACTGTACCCAGTGCTTGTATAAATAAATAAATAAATAAATAAATAAATAAATAAATCTTAAAAAAAAAAATTAACAAGTTTGTTTCCCCGCATACCTTGCAAATTATTTTCCCCCATTCCCTTGCAATTTCCCCCTTGTTTGACAGGTTTGTCTTCTTGCTTTCCAAGGAGTTGAAAAAAGCAAGCTGGTGCCCACCCATCTCTGTCCTGAATCCTTCCCCCTCCCCTTTGCAGACCTTTGTCTATCTTACCCCTTTTTTCCCTTTGTAAAAATACCCCTGCCCTCTGCCAAAGAGCAGGGTGGTTGTCTTTCAAACATGAGTGCTGCCTTCCTCATTTGTCGACAAATTAAACCACTTTCCTTTTCCTCAAACTCTGTTTCCTTTTATTAACTGAGGGAAACTGAGGTAGCATTGGCATCTATTTGGTGGAAACAAAATGTTTGAACACCTGTCTTTCAGTTCACAATTCTGTCTGCCCTTATTTTATTTGATGATTAATCTGTCCATTGATTTTTAAATTCTGATCTCTACAAATATATATATATATATATATGTACTTTATATTTTTCAAACATTTCTGTTCTTTTTGATAGCATATGATTTTTAAAATACATATTTTAATTCTTTTTGGAGTGATTTTTACATTTTGAAATATGTGTGGCACAGACACTGTAGATATTCTATTAATAGCTCCTCCTAGATGACTAGCAATTATTCAGTTGAATCATAAGAGACAAAGAAATGGTATAATGATATTTATGCAGAGTGACCTCAGTGTGTTGCTCCTGGAGGACACCTTGTGGCTAGAGCAAAATGGACTCTGCATGGAAAATGGGTGTTCTCATCAATTCATAGACATCATGTGGTATCCAAACTCCAGTATAACTGAGGGAAAATGAGAATAGAAACTTTGACCACTTTCAATCATCCTAACAGAAATGAGCAGAAGGGAAGTATTAAGTTAAAATCTGTAAAAGGATGGTAATTCTTTCTTATTCACACCTGGCCTTTTTTCAGGAAGAATTTTACCTATTGTATTTGTAAGAGTAAACTTTGTGGAGCTATGTGAGCTATGTGTATGAATATTTTTCTTACAAAGATAGCACATATCTATGACAATTTTGTGACATGACACTTTCCCTTATGATCATTTCTCTATTTAGCTTTACATTCTTGTCTGGCTGTGTCATGGTTAGTGAACCACAGCTAACAGTTTGGGAAACATTCTCCTTTGTCCTAACTGAAGGACACAAATCAAGGTGAAGATGGAACTGGCCTGACTCTGAAGCTATTGTGCATGAGAAAAATGCTCTTGGTGCAAAAGCACATTATTGACACTGTACCTTCTGGGCAAATCACTAACTTCAAAGAAAGACAAACTTCAAGGTTTATAGCAGGGCTAAAAAACTTAGTTCCCTGATGATAACTCTCTGAGTACAGAAAATTTTAACAAGCATCCTTGTTCTACTCAGTGCATAGATGGCATCAGATAGATCCATTAACCAGACACCTGCCAAGATCCTGGACATTTTTCCCCTGCTAATTGTATAAAATCCTTATTGAAGAGCTCAAAGTTTGGACAGCTCTTCCAGATTTAGCTGGAGATTGAGTCTGAGCTTCATTCACCAGTCTTGATTCATTCATAAAAAAACTCTTAATTATTAGTTGTCTCAATTTATTTAAGTCAACAATTGCCCCAATATGTTTTGTACTTGTCTCCCAAATAAGTATTTACAGATGTGTCTCAACAAAAGAGATCAGCTTTTCTTCTTTGGAAAACCTTTCTAACAGCAATTTTTATGGCTTGATTTCTCAGACTATAAATCATTGGGTTGAGTGTTGGGGGCACAACTGTGTACATAATCGTGAGAAAAATGTCTAGTGCACTTGGAGAATCAGAAGGAGGCTGGAGAAACTCAAAGGCACCGGTGGATATAAACAAAATGACAACAATGAGATGGGGAAGGCAAGTGGAAAAGACCTTGGCTCTGCCCTCTGCAGATGGCATCTTCAGCACAGTGGAGAATATCTGGAAGTAGGACATTCCAATGAAGGTGATGCAAAAAGAGCCCACAAGAAATGTGAAGGCACTAACCCCAACTTCTCTGATATACTCGTTAGAACAAGAGAGTTTCATGATCTGGGGGATGTCACAGAAAAACTGATGAATGATATGGGAACCACAGAAGTGCATGGAGAAGGTGGCAGCTGTGTGCATGGCGCCAGCAATGACCCCACTGATCCAGGCGCCTAGGACTCCATGGACACAGGTGCTGACATCTATGATGATTTCGTAGCGCAGTGGAAAGCAGATGGCCACGTAGCGATCATAAGACATCAACGTGAGTATAAATGTCTCAACAGAACCACAGATAGTGAAAGCAAAACACTGCACTATGCATTCACCAAAGGTAATGTAGCCACTATGTGTGAAAGAGTTATAAATGGATCTTGGCACAGTCACAGAAATGTAGCACAAATCCAACAAGGAGAGATGTTTCAGGAAGAAATACATCGGTGAGTGGAGACTATTGTCTATGGAGATTGCTGTGATAATGAGGATATTGCCAGCTAATGCCACCATATATGAGACTAAGAACAAAGAAGCATGGATGAGTTCTAGCTCAGGCTTTACTGAAAATCCCATCAAAAGAAACCCACTCATAGTGAAATTGGCCATAGTCCTTTTTAATTTCCCAGTGATGTTGGCTGCAAGACAAGACAGGACTATTGGAAATCTCTTACTGAACCTAGCAATCCACCTGGACTAAATGAAGTTAGGCATAAAGTTACTTGAAGTAATCATCACTTCATCATTGATGTGAAGGAAGTTATTTATAGCAATAATCAAGAGCAACAATTTGACCCAGATATGGAAACATGGATAAAGAGGATTATAAATTTCAGTATTGCCCACTTAAATCAAAGAAAAGGAAAAATGTATATTGGAATAAATTCAATACAATATGTTTTAAAATATATAATCTTGCAAATAGTACTGGATCATTGAATGTTGATTTATATAAAAAGTTTTATACAGTTCATATACTTACATTTTAAATGTGTCTTCACTGCCTAGTTTTTTTGATTAATCATTCTATCTTTTCATATGCCACTGCAATTACAATGGATTTATTATAGCAATTTTATGATTTTGTTTTAATTTTAAGGTGTAGAATCCATGTTTTTACTTTAAGCATTTGTATTCTTAATAAATAAAATTATGAAAGACCAAATTGATGGTACCTATCAAATAATTGTGATGTATAACCATTATCATAACATAATATATCATAAAACTTTGGTCTGAAAAATACTATTTCTCAAGTGAATTAGAAATGAATAGACATTCCACAGTGTTTTTTTTTGAGAATTGATATAACTAATACAAAGCTGAAAAAACTCTCTTACTCTTCTGCTAGTTAATATAATATAGTACATTTGTGGAACATAATTTTTGTACCCAACACATTAGTAAAGATTCAAAAAGAAAATACTCAGTGCTATAAATTGTGAGGAAAGCCACCTCATAGTCACGTATATCTCAAAAGAAAAAGATGTGAATCTAGATATGAAATCTTGTGCAGTCTTGTAAATCAATGTTACTTTAATAAAATTCATATAATTGCAGAATAATATGACCCTTATTTCATGAGAAAAGGAAAAAGCTTAATATATGCAAGCAATATGGTCCATTATGTGCATACTCTTTAGAAAAAACAAATGTTTAGAAATACTTCGAAGCACTCTGCATCTTAGACCATGTAATTTTATATCTAGATAACATTTTATTAAATTATTTGGATAATTAGTATTAAGAAAAACTGTGTCCATTTAAAATAAGGGCAGTAACAAAATGTTGACAAACCATAAAGATATAACTGAATACTTATTTTCATGATATTTTAAGTGACCTTGAAAATTATCTTTCTGAAGTACTGCTATCTGAAATGAGGTTTGATAACTATTTGAATGACACAGAAGTAAATCATATTAATAAACATGTAAATACACATAAGTGGAATATGCAGAAAATAAAGACTATAAAGAAGTAAAACATATAACATCAATAATTACTTCTACATGTTGAGACAATGATTGTGTTTATTGCTTGTTTATAGATTGTTAGCCTGACTAGAACATATGGGAAAATGAGTCTCCTTTTTAGTTTTTCAGCCAGAAACCATAGTATTCCTGTAATGATTTACTTAGAAATTGAGGGTGATGGTTGCTCTAGCTTCTGTAGTGAACTACGTAATAATACTGGGAAATTCTTTAAGTCTGTGATTGATAGAAAAAAACTTGACATTGATGAGACAGTCCCTTGAACACACAAGCAAAACTTATTTGAGATTGTTTCAGCTATTGTGTGTGTCTGTGTGATCCACAGGAATGTTAACATACTGTTAAGTATGTCCAAGTAATTCCATTTTAGATAATATTAAAAGGAGACTTTGAAGGTGACCCCTTGAATTTCTAGAGGTGAGCATGACACATTTACTCATGTGGGCATCATAACTATAATTTACCAGGTGAGGTTTCTGAAGCCTCCAAAATTTCCATTTCTATATGTCTGGAAGAAGGTTGCTTATTTTTCTTTATGGAACCCACCTAAAAGAATTCCTCTCCTATGTATTGAAATATTACTTGAATTATCCAGAAGTATTTGTTTGGTCTTTCCATTAATTTAAATCTACTCTTGGCAATGATTATACAGAGGCCACATAGTAGAATTAAATACAGTTTTCTTATCTTTAAAAATTTATGTATCTTTTCTGTATCTTGAATATATAAGAATGTTATAACATTAGATTATCTATAAACATGTATAAATAAATTATGTATTTACCCAATTGTGTATGTGTGTGTGTGTGTAGGGGGAATGTAAAAAATAACTGTCACATTATGGATTATAAAGATTATAAATAGCTAACTAATATTTTTAATATGTTGCTGTAACTGTGATAACAAGTGTAACTGCAGGAAGAAATAAAAGGACTCAAAGTGTCTATTTAGTTGATTCTTAGATATTATTCATTACTTTTGCTTTATTAATTAGATATCACTGTAATCATGAATATTAAGATTACTTTTCACTTCAAAGAAATCCCTAATTTCAGGGTTGATCAAGAAATTTACATTAATTTTACCTCTTTAATTCACCATCTCATTGTCTCCAACTTATTCACCGTCCTATGACAAAGGGAACATTCAAAATGTTTTACATCTATCACTGTTTTAGGAAAATATTAATGTCTTTAAACACTGTTGTTTAAGTGCATATAGTGTTTTCAAGACATAACAACATTCTTTAAGTGGATTCAGTATGATGGCATTTATGATTTTTACCAGTTATTTTTGATTTCAGTCCTTTTCTCCATGTTTCTATTAAATTGTCCATCCACAAGTCCATGCCAGAATCATCCTATATTTTCTCTGATTCAGAATCTTCTCCTAAGAATTAGAAGTTAAAAGACTGGGTGATTGTTATGACCTGAGGCATGGTCTCATATTATGTAAGAAAATGTCAGACTGAGCTGTTAATTAACTGAAGTTATGTTGAGATAAAGCCTAAATGGAAACTGAAAATCGAGGGAGTAACTCATAAAAACTCTGAAGGCGGACAAGCCTGACTTGTGCACCCCAGAAATGCTTTGGAATCTCCAGCTTCTGTACTCTTTGCTTGCATTAAGGTGTAAGTGTACTCCTGCTAAAGCAAATAATACTGTTATCTAACTGCTCAGGGCTTAGTTTTAGGGGGGAGATCTCCTCTAGGTCAGCTTCTTCCTCTCAGAGTGCTGCCTGGTTCCCTAGTGGAATTCTGGCCTAACAGTATTACATACTTTCATCTTTATCTATGGTTTGTTTATGATCCTTGCTTTGGGAAGCTGGGAAATATGGTTATATTGCTCTCATGAAACTGTTGGATCCATTCTCAATTTTCAAACTTTTCTATCATAGTTGAGCAATTTTTTCCCGAAATTTCTGAAATGGAAAGCATCTCATATGTCTTTCATTCACTATTATAAGAGTCAATAAATGGTATGAATACAAGGTATTTCAAAACACTATCATACATTCACGCTCAATTAATTCTTATGAGGGTTATATAAAGAAAGACATTGTTATGGAGGTGGAATTGGACTCCACAATATGTTTCTTGCAATGGAAGTCATTTACAATATTCTCTCCGAGATTCCTGATTTACATTAAAATAATTATAGTATTTCATATTTAGCAAATTAAATGACAATGTCTAGTTCTCGGAATCATTCAAAACCAGTGTCTATGGCCTTTCCATTATTCTGTGTGATCGATCATTTAGACCCTAAGGAAACTCACCAGAGCATATTCAAGAATATCTTCCCTCAGCAGGAGAAGCTGTCAGTGTAAGCAGCTGACACTTAACTCAAAATCTTGATCTGAAATCAGTCACCATTAGAAAAATCATAACTGTAGAGAAAAGTTAAGTCCATTTTAATCTTTTTTGGCCTCTGGTGATTAAGCAATGGAATCTCTTGGCACAAGCAGAGCTTGTGGGAGCTCTGGGTATTTGCCATTGCTGGCCAATACCTTGGGACCAAAGCTTGCAAATGTATTAATTGTTCCTGCAGAGAATTGTTCTGCTGAATTGATTTAATAATTATAACTAGTTACCTGGAATTTCAACTTGTGTTTATTAGATCAAATTATTGAAAAATATTATAATTTGGTGCCAATTCAAGAATATTTAAAACACAACTTAATTCCATTAATTGAAATACCAAGTTATTAATTTACTTTTAAATAATGTGTTATTGTCTATAAGCATACCTATTGTCTGAAGATGTGTAAATACCAATAGATTACTACCAAAAATGAAGAAAAGATTCCCTAATCTTATACTACTAAGTGGTAGTTTAATTTAACTTAGAGGGACAATGTAACAAATAGAATTTTTTTAAAAAATCCTGGTGTGTGGTCAACGGTTTGTGTAGCATAAAATTTTAATTTTTAAAAATATTTATTTATTTATGCATTCAGGAACTGGGGTGTAAACCAGAGGTGCTGGGGTGAGAGGAGTCACCAGAGACAGAGTGGGAAGCAGAACAGGCAGATCTACTGAAATACACTGCTGATGGGAGCAGCTGTTGAGACAGGAGAGATCTGCTGTGCCATGTGGGTCACCTACTTGGCCGGGGATCCAACTTGTGCTGTAGTGGCTGCCAAAAGCTCAATAGCACTATCTTTAACTCCTGCACCACTAGGGAAGCCCAAAACTAATTTTTATTAAAACAAACATTATTCAAAAAAGCCTAATAGAATAGTTAATGAGTGTACATGCCATCATCATGTCTTTATCCTGGACTTCATTGCACAAGTTTTTATAGTCCTAACAATGCTATGATATAGGATCAGATGGTTTCCAAGTAAACTATCATTTGAACAGAACCTTCCAACTAATTGTCAGAGCATTTCACATTTATATTCTACAAATATAGCACATTATGGTTTAATTTCATTCATACTTTCTGTATATGTATTAGTGCTACTGAATTTGAAGAATATTCTCTACTAATTAATAAGACAGAGTCTATATGTTTTTGAGCACTTGCTCCAGCTAAAATGTCTTTTAAAATATCAGAATTTATTGATTTTTATTTTTATCAAATATCTTTTGAATTTTTTTTACATTTATCA